CCATGAACACTTAGCTTGCAACTTTCAACTCCGACTCAGATCAGGGTGGAGAAGTAGGAATTTCATCACTACAGTGATCATGGTTATCTGTGATATCACTACTACCCAAGGGAGTAATGGAGGAATGAGACTCAAATTCTTTATCCTTTGGGGGAGAGATAGAGGTATTTAGGATACTCTCAAATTTAACAGAGATTAGATCTAGAAAGGGTACAATCTCTTCAGAAAACTTCTTTTTAGTAGTAGTGTCTGAGTTAATGAGGACAATTTTTGTTACAGTTGTAATTTCTTAGATAGAGTCAGTGACTACTGACTATAGAACATGTCTCCATTACAGTGTAAACAGAAAAAATGAAAGGAACATGTCTCCATTACATGTCTTCCACGAAAACTAAAAAAAACTAAAATGTTACCATTGGTGCTTGAAGAATGAAATATCACACAAGTATATTCACGGTGACCAGCAATACGACAATGTAAGCAAAATGGAGGTAATTTGAGATAAGACGCTTCAAGAGTGATAACATCTCCTTTATATGTTTACACCTCAATGAAATTGGATAGTGGTCAGTGAATTAGAGTAGACTTACAAAGACCAAATGGGAGTAAAATATTTTGGAATGTTGTAAAAGTTTCTTAGATGAGAGGACTACTATGGGCAATGCCATCCTTAGGAGAGTTGCTTTATACTAGGATACATATAGAGACGTATTGCACATATTTGGTCAAAAAATTGGTAAAGCAGTCGACTGGCTAAGTTTTATTCAAAATGAATAATTAAAAAAGAAGATTATTCTCGAACAGAAATATTTCATTTCGAATTTTTTTCTAATTTTGTTTTTGATATTCAAAATTTTATTTTTGAAAATACTTTAATTTTTTTTTAAATCTTAGTTAATTATTTCTTTAAATCCTAAACTCCATCCCCCAAATTTCTAAATCTAAACGTTAAATATATGTTGGTACTCTTGTTGTGGGGTTTGCAAGAAGTACTGGTTTCTTGGCAATGTCAGCAGCTAAAGTCACATCATCGTGCTGATTCCATCATATTCAGCATATGCCTTTTTTAAAAAAAAACAGTGACAGAAATATCCCTCGACCACTACTTCCATGATAATAAGCTCATCCAATTTGAGTGACTACATAGACTGGAAGAAATAGGTAGCAGAAATATAAAATACGATGGCTTCATCCAAGATGGGGAAAAACACACATAGCAAGGTCAGAGCAATACTTATTAAAAAAAAAAAAAAACAGATAGAGGATATGTAAGCAAAGGAGCTTTTGTGATCACTTGGAAGGCTGGGGGTATCCATCCAAGTCGTCAATCCAACGCAAAGTTCCTGGATGAACAAAATCGTCAACATCAGGAGCATCAACGGCATAAGCTCTAGGGATTGTACAGTCTTCAAAAGACAAGAAGATGGCCCGCTTCTCAACAGTAGCATCATCATCATCAGCCTTCCCATCTTCTAAATCCACCATGAGCTGCCTGACCTTGTCGAGATAAGTGATGCTGGGGAGGCACTTACGTGCAACAGTAAGCATAAGCGCAAGAGCAGCACTGTTCAGGCGCTTGCACTGGTCGAGAGAATCACAATCATCACTTTGCAGAAGTGCCGCATATTTCTCGTCGATTGTTTGAATCAGTTTATATGCATTAAGGAGTTGATTCCGAGCAAAGCCCAAGTGGCTAACAAGAAGGCCCTTGGGAAGAGGAGTTTGACCAAAGGAAGGAAACTCTTCCCGAACCTTAATGATCCTACCGGTAAAGAAACGCTCCGCGCCATGAACCTTATTCACGTAGAACCAACGGGTTAACGAGTTCACCTTATAAGTCGGCCAATGGGGGGGCTCGTTTCTGAAGAGCAACGACCTCGTCAACAAAATCTTTTTCAGTTGGAATCGCACTCATCGTCTTGAAAGTCTTCATCTCATTCACCATCTCTATCCCTAAAAAGCAAAATAATATATATCAACTACTCTTCGGACAGGGAAAAAAAAGCCCTAAGTGGAGTTTCTACAAACATGTTCATCAGATCTGAACGTATCTTATGAAAATAGACAAAGGGCAGAGAATCTTACCGAGGGAGAGTTTCGCTTGAGAGATTTTGGAGCCCAACCAACCTTTTATATCTCACAAACTAACTAGGGTTCGTTCGCCACCACAACCTGTTTCCATTAAAAAGAGAGCTCATTAAAGAGATTACGAATTTATTATTGTGTATGATCATATAAATGATAAAAGTTACATAAAATAATTATACATTTTTACCTATCTTTTTATCTGATAAATTAATTTGCATCTCTATATATTATATTACCATACTGATAAATACATATTCACTATTATTCATGTTGTTTTTAAATTGTCAGTTCATACTCGAATTCTTGTTGGTATGCTATATAAATTTTATCTAAAACTCATCTAACTTATTAACGTGAGTATTTAGACATATTATTTTTAAATTATTTATTATAAACATTATTCTCTAAATATATTTATTCAACAAAAATTGTATGACATCATTTTAGTTTTCTGTATTATATGAAGTTCATAGTTTTTATCCTGAATTGGGTTATAGATTTATAAGAAGTTATAGATTTATCCGTGAAGCCTGTTTTGCCTGGAAATGGCATATCCATCATGGTAATGTGACTTGACTTTGGTAGAAATCTTTTAAGTGTATTATGGAGTGTTTAGTTAAATTTAGTGTCAAGTATGTTCTGGAAATGGCATATCCATAAATGTTACTCTCGTTTCTGAAAGTTTTCTAGCTAAAAGTTACCTACCTTTGGTTATAATAGCACAGTTTTCTAGCTAAATGTTAGATATTATAACCAAAGGTAGCTAAATGTTAAACGAGAGTAACATTTAGCTAGAAAACTGTGCTATTATAACCAAAGGTAGATAACTTTTAGCTAGAAAACTTTCAGAAACGAGAGTAACATTTATGGTAAAGATCAGGTTTAACAATGAAAAATGCAATGGAAAGTTCTTGGATAGACCAAAAAGAGCTACAAAACATCAGCTGGTGTAACTTAAAACAACCCTGGTAGTTTCAAAAGCCTGTTCAAGCAAGAGACAGAAGAAGTGGGAACCAAACATCTAACTTTCACAGTTGATGATTTGGTAAACCTATCTCAACTCTTCTAGAACCACCATTGGGACAAAAAACATCAGGAAGCTCAACGCATGTTTCCCTCTCTCAAATATTATTTTGAAATCCAAAATTTTGTTTTTGAAATTATTTTAATTTATATCTTACTTAAATATTTCTTTAAACCTTAAACCCTATCCACCAAAACTTCTAAATCTAAACATTAAATATATGATTAGTTAAATTCTATGGAATAAGTGTTTTAGATACTTAGAAAACTCAAAACTCAAAAACAAGCATTAACCTTTTTTTTTGGAACATAAAAACGAGCTTTAAAACTAAATTGCACGTTATAGCGTCCAAAAAATTATAATTCACTATCTGACGCTTTAACCTATTTTGCTAGAATACAATACATATTTTTTTTATAATAATACAATTATGCCCTTCTCAACAACTGACGAAACCTGCAACCAAATCAATTTAAAACAAATAATTAGTTATTGTAAAATATAAACTGTGGTTCTTCTTTATCCACATATCTTACTCACGTCATTTTTTAATAGATTGAAAAGATAAATAAGTTTAATCTCATATTAACATCGTCGGTAACACAACTGTCTAAATTCCCGGCGGTGAGAGAAGAAGACCACCACATTTCGTGCACTGAGAGAAGGGGAGCTTCTGAGATTATGATACTGAGAGGCGCGAATAAGAGAACACCATAGCGGCGGCAAGGTGAAGTCACAATTTACAGTTCGACTTCACAAATCTGTTTTCCACAAGAGAATTCAAGCCAATAAGTTTCTGGTGTTTTCTTATATTCTCTTCGAAATAAATTTTGTTGTGTGTGTGAATCTCTATTGTAAACTCAAAAAACCCGAAAGTTTGTTTATTTGCGTTTGGATGTCGTGTTCATTCTATTCTACTTTTGAATCTTGTATCTTGTATATAAAATAGACTTAAGAACACATGTAATAGAATATACTTTTGTATTCATGTAAATGAAATAGTCTATTATCATATGCATAACGTTGGAATTTTGTGTATGGGTCACTGTTCTATTAGATTTTTGCGCTTTGGGAAATATCTTGAATTGTGCCATTTTAATTGAAGAACATGTTCGGTTAAAGAGATGAAAACTATTTATAATGATTAAATTTACATTTAAATGTAAATTATTACATTTGACGATTAATAAATAGTGTTCTATTTTGTTCACCATTGTGTACTATACTATATATTTTGTTCTATTATATTTGGGTTTATGTTCTATACTTGGGTTTAGGGTTTATAATGATTAGGGTTTAGCGTTTAGTATTTAGGTTTATGGTCTATACTTAGGTTTAGGGTTTAGTGATTAGGATTTAGGGTTTAGTGATTAGGATTTAGGGTTTAGTATTTACAATGGCACCATCTGTTTTTCATTCACACAAATTTCTTTAACTACATCCAAATTTCATAATTTCACCAATATGTAATATGCTATTTATTTTGTTTTATTCTATTTGGGTTGAGGATTTATATTAGGGTTTAGTGATTAGAGGTTTAGGGTTTAATATTTGGATTTAGGTTTAGAAATTCAGATTTAGGGTTTAGTATTTATGATGTGGAGTTAAGTTTAAGGTTTATAGTTCTTTTTATGTAAAGGTGTTATATATATTTGTTTCTATTAAACAAAAGTACTTTTATAATTGGAATAGAACATTTATATAGCATAGTAACATGTATGTGGTAAGAAAGCATGTGACGTGGATATATTTGCTTTATTCATTAGTTAAGTCATTGACATCTTCCCCTTTTTGTTTTGACCGGTAACTTATTTTTTATAGGGGTATAACCGACTTAAAAGAAGACTAAATATTATTCACTTAATAACGTTAAAATCATAGTCATCTACTTAATATTGCTCTCAAAATTGGCTATCTCGCAAATTTACCCATAACATTTTTCTAAGCTTTGATACAATCACAATAAATTTGGTTCGAAATCTGAAGAACAATGCAATATCTCTCTCTCTCGAACCTTCACTTAACTCAAACCTTCCTTCTTTCCCTTTCACAACTTCACAAGTTTGGGAGAACCGCTCCAAACGACACCGTGTATTCATGAAACTGCAAACATCAAAAACAAGACTCAGTTTAACTTGTCTTACCAAAAAAATCTCAGATGTTTTTTGTTTTCACTTTGAAAAACATCTCAACTTGTTGCAGCATCAAGCTTTAAGCTTTTAGTTACCTCAGATCTGCCTTATCTGAGATGGAATTCACTGTGCTACTCAAGTAATTCGAATATTCGATAGTTATGCAGCATGAGAGAGAGGTCACTAAAAGGGAAATGAGACAAACCTGCTTCACGATCTCTTCATATTTAGCTGCTAACTGTTTCACTTTAGCTTTCCCTGATTGTTTCACCTGGTTAGTCTTGGCAGTATTCTCATCAACCTGTTGGACATAAAATAAACATCCAAAAAACTGACGACCCAAGATAAAGAATACAGCTTCACATCGTTAAAGTAAAGGGGCTATTACCATAGCCACTACTGATTCAACATCGTTTTGCCTGGCTTCAAGTTGACGTCTTCTTGATTCAACTTCCACTCTTATTTCATTCAGTTTTTTCGTCCAATCATCAAACATGACTTGTTTCTCTTTCTCTAACAGCTTTAACGATTCGTGCAACTGTTTCACTGTATAAAGAACAGAAAATTACAACCTCCGAACACAAAAACAATACTGAGAAACACTAAGAGTGTAAGATATATATATAAACCAAGCCTCACCTGTTCTTTCCCGCTCAACCACTTTCGCCTCTAGTGATTTGTAACCTGCCCCATCTTCACTGAGTTTAGCTTTCAGAGCTTTTAGATCCTTCTCTATTGCTTTTACATTGGTTACCTGTAACATCATCAGACACACATAAAAAACGAAAGACACTTTAAATCTCATTCCGATATATTGCAAGGTTTTGTGTCTTGCCACATGCTGAGATGCAATGCATGGTTCACAATCAACTAGCAATGAAAGAGTAAATGTTCTTGGTCACCTGTTCGTTAATTAATTGCAGTTGCGCAGATGATTTTGACATTTTCTTGAATGCCTGCAAAAGGGAACACATAGATAGAAAGAAATGTATTACCACATGCTACACACTTATTAAGCTCACATAATAGAGTTCCAGTTTCATCTAGTAGTACATTAGCATAAATGGTGTATGAAAGAAAGTCACAGAGAGTCAAAGCAATAAACACCAAACTTAGTAAAACAATGACTGAAGACTAAATCTCAAACAGTTGACCATAAAGTTGCAAGAGATGTCACAAAATGCATCAACTTAAGGTGAGGGGACCAATGTGATTTAGTAATAATCCAGAGAGATTTTCATTAGAATACCTTTTCATAAACCTCAAGAACGGCAGCCTTTTCCTGGAAACTTTCCATTGCTAATCTTTCAGCTTTCTTTGTTTCCTCAAGAACTAGTTTCTTCTCTTCTAAGGCCCCCTGTCTCCATAAAAAAAACATATGAACTAATGTTGTATACACAAAACCTCCTCCCCTCTTAGAAACAGGCACTAGTAAGAACAAAAACGGACCTGTAATTTGTCTGGCGACTGAACAATTTTATCCCGTAGGTTTGCATTTTCTTGGACAGCTTGCAGAAGGTCAAACTCTGCTTTCGAAATCTATAAAGAGAAATACACAATGTAAAAAAAAAACAGGGAACACATGTTCATGTCTTGCGGTTTCCTTTACCTTGTTATCCATCTCTGTACTCTCCTCCTTCATTTTATTGAACGTAGCTCTCAGAGAAAGCTGCTGGTTATTGAGCTCTGATATTTTCTGAGTGAGTTCTTCTATATTCGCTTCTAACTCTTGAACAAAAGGTAAATCCCTTTCACAGGTTTCATCAAACTCTCCAATCTCTGCATTCAACTGCATCTTAAAGCCTTTAAAAAAAAAACAAAGCTCTATCTATTGGATTACATTTTTTTTTTTTTAATTGCATTACCTGAGCAATCTTGGCCTCTGATTGCCTCCGTTGCTCATCAAGAAGAGTCAACTCTTCCGCCAATGGTCTTATAAGCTCCATCTTTGAATCCCTAAAGGATTAAACTTTTAGAGACTCCAAAATCAAAAATGAAGAAGTGAAGAGAAAAAAAAGGAAGATACTTGTAAAGACTAAAGTTCAAGAGAGCGCTGATGAAAAACTCGGTTCGGGGAGAGTCAGGGCGTAAGAGATCCTTGAAATTGATCTGTAGAGGACAGTCCAACATCTCTAACGTGTCTTTGAGTTTGATGTAAAGAATCATCGCCGGAGCTGCTGCTGTGAAGTGATCTGGATTCTCCAGTTGCTCTAGAGCCTCGAAATCGACTTGCCCTTTCTCTTCTCTACAGTGAATTTTGAAATTGGAGTTAGAGGAATCAAGTTTTACCCCCAAAATTGAAAATTAGGGTTTTTCAAGAGAAAAAATTAGGGTTTTTTCAAAATCGACTTGTCATTTGTCTTCTCCACAGTGAATTTTGAAATTGGAGTGAGAAGATTAAGTTTCCCCCAATTTGAAAATTAGGGTTTTTCAAAAATTAGGTTTTATTCTCAAAATCGACTTGCCCTTTGTTTTCTCTACATCGAATTTTGAAATTGGGATGAGAAGAATCAAATTTTACCCCAAATTGAAAATTAGGGTTTTCAAACAAACAATATTAGGGTTTTTCAAAATCAACTTGCCCTTTGTTTTCTCTACAGTGAATTTCGAAATTGGGATGAGAAGAATCAAGTTTTACCCCCAAATTGAAAATTAGGGTTTTTCAAAAATGGAGGAGATAAGGAAGTATACGTACTCGGTGAGGACGTCGAGATAGATGAGGATACGGGTGTAAAGGTCGGAGACGGAGTCGAAAGTAGGGTTTATGAGATCGGCATCTTTGACGGAAGCGATGTTAGCCTCCGTGAGGACTGAGATGATTTCGGAACGAGACAACTTGGGATAATCGTAGGCCGACATCAGAGAGTTACTTAACAGAGGAACTAAAAATCTGGAGAATGGAAAAGGAAGTGACTGTTATTAACTTTGATTTTCCCGCCTCGCCGCAACGCATACGAAAGGATAACACGTGGCATCTTTGATTTTTAAAAATAATAAGTACTATATAATTCTTTTTTTGAATAGTGTTTTGAGTGTTACAAACAAAATGTTAAAAAAAGAATTGGAATTGTATGTTATTGATATTGAGATTAAAATTAAAATTATTGTATTGTAATGTTTATATGAGTATTTTTTTGGATTTTGGAATTTGTGTTTTTACTATGCTTAATATAAGTGATATTGATGCTTAACCATTTATTGTTTTTCTAAAAATAGGAAATAATGGTATTTCAAAATGTATCTAATATATATCAAATGATAGTATAATATAATCTTAATCATTATATGTAAATAAACATTTTTGTTTTTATTTTATTTTTTAAATTGCTTCAAATATTTTTACTTAATAACATTATATATATAATATAATAGTGTAAGTTTGGAAGATTAATTTTTATATAATTTATGTATAATTTAAAAAATAATGTAAGATATTATATTTGAAGAAAAAACTGAATTTATTATTTGAAAGTTAAATATTTATATTTTGTCTCCCTGCTTATATTCACCAACGTAATCATTAATATTTATAACTCACTATGTTTTAAAAAAATGAAGTTTTATATAATAATATAGTTCAAAAAATTAAATTTATCACCGATTATGTTCTTTAGACTAAGTATTTATTTTTATTTATTTATGGTTTATTATATACTCAGCAGCTAAAATTAGTTTAGATCGAAATAAATTATGTAAGTATATAAAAATTTTACATCGAGATTTTTAATGTGACATGGTTAATAAATAAAAGGTTTAGACCAATCAACTTACTATTAGTTGATTTTAAGTTAGAAATTCATGAAAGTTAACACCATCTCAGAGTTCAAACACACTATATCCATCCAAGCCGAATTCGATCAGATCTGAAAGAGGTTTGATCGATCTTGAACCGCATGAATCAAACTAATTCCATATTGGGATATTGTCAAAATTAATGGTCAAAAAGAATCATCATCTCGATGATGTGTGGAGAATATAAAACTGACAACAAAAATTTCGATGGAACATTACTAATATATAAAAATGTGGACTAACTAACTTACCTTTAATTTGTTTTAACTTGAAAGTTAAGAACTTAACAAAATATGATCGGATGATAAGAGTTCTAATATTATTCACTCTTTTTTTACAAAACAATCACTTAAATTGGCACTCTCGTTTTTCTCAAACCTCGAGGAAAAGATGTATTAATACGCATCAATGTATACCTGTCTAATGTGTAGAAAAGGGAAATATGTTTATTGGATAATGAGATAGAGTTTCCTTGATGGCAAAAAAAAAAAAAAAAAAAAAAAAAAA